AAAAATAAAAGATGATTTTAGATTAACGAATGATGACCCAAATGAATTTATTTTATAAACCCTGAACTTTTATAAGCTTTTCTCAAGTGCAGGGTGCGTTTGAACAAAGCTAATATAAGACAATGAACTTTTAATAGATCCCTCAAGAAGAGTGGGGCTACTGCTTGAATCAATTGTTCCGTCATATTCGATGGTGTATAGAAAAGAATTAAAACATTAGCTGGTTTCTACGTTCTTTAGATTTTTGTTTCTAAAAACTTTCAGTGTGACCCCACGTATGTTGATTTATTTTATATGTTCAATATATTTTTATTCAATATTTATTTTCTAGTATGCGCCTACACACTATATAGATTTTTCACTTAAATCGTAGGAAAACATAAACATTATTTTACTAAAGATAATCTTGGAATATCATATTAATTAAAGCTACACTGGAAAAATCGACTACTTATATAGTAGGTAAGAAGTAACATATTAAGGGTATTTGTACTATGTTATGTGTGACTGTTAAAATATTTTTCCTGCTAGTACATATTTACACAATTACTCACTAGTTTTCCTCCCGTGGAAATTTTTTAAGCCTATTTTTCGTGATAAAAGCTATCCTATATTTTTCCCGAGATCCACATCTGTGTACCAAATTTCATTAAAATTGGTTGAGTAGTTTATGAGTAAAAACGCAATAGACACACATAGATAGAGATATTTTCACATTATAATTTATATTTTTAATATTAGTGTAGAGTAGACAAAGCAAAGCATCAAGAAAATACATCAGCCAATTGAAATAGATAGGTAATCATTTATAATCCTTAGGTGTTAAATTCCAACGTTAGGTGACTTCATCCAAAAGGTTTTAAATATTTTTTAAAACTTTGATTATAACCTCCTAAGGTTTATTTAAAGTTATGCTGTGAAATTGAAATTAATGTAATGAAATTAAAATTCGTTAACAAAATTATCATTAGTGTAAAGCGACATTACCCATACAAATTTGACATTCATTAGAGCTTAAAGGCGTCATTAAACCTTAATTCAGCGTTTGTGCAACTGACCGTCGGAGTGGTAAAATAACAACACAAAAATATCTTCTAATTTATTAAAAAAATCGTGATAATAATTTTGAAACAATATATTAATATTTTGTCGAAACATTTAAAAGAAGGTTATTTATTTCATATTAATGTTTAATAAAAGATAATTAAGCCGTTTATTTTGATTTTTGTTATTGTGTGCTTTTTTGATGTGCTGCACTTTTGAATATGTACGCCTTTGGCGTTTTACGTCTTTAATAATCGATATTCAACCATTTTAAATAAGAATGGATTTTCTGAATATTTTGTTATAAATTTATTAACTATATTTTATAATTATTATATGGGAAAAACAGGAACATAAGCAACGGAGCGAATAATGCAAAGTGTATTTTAAATGAGTGTTAGGATTGCTTGACATTAATATTACATTAGTAGAATACATTTAACAATATATAACCAATAAATATTACTCTAACTATATAAAAATCAATTTGTGGATAGTAAATACGGATATGTTCATAAGGTATAGTTAATATGGAGTTGGAAGTGGATATTTTACTACGCGGAAACGTGTTTTTTTACAGGCTGTATGACAGGGAGTGCACCAGGGAGTGTACAAGAGCTCCCGCCCTTTATTTTTTTACCATCGGCAATCTAGACGTACGGCGGAATACAATTCTCATTTGGTGAATATCCTAAAACTCCGGACAAAACGCTTCTCATCATCATTTATCCAACTGCCAAGGGATTCCCTGCCGGCGTCCATATTCCCGAGAACATACAACCCAAAGCTATTGAAGGCGAGAGTGAATAGGTTCCTTTTGGGCAAGCACGTTCCACCGTATAGGTCTAATTCATGTCCCCAGGCTAAATTCAAATTAAGAGTGAACCCATTCATTATAATTAAAAAAAATTACAAATATACTGCAACTTTTATAGGTACTGTAACCCAGGGATTGTCAAAATAGTCAACATTGAGGCCATGGTCGCAATCGGTTTCTCATCGGTCGCCTAAACCAAAACCAAGTGATGTCGATGTCAAGATCTAATATCGACCGCTAATAATATGGATGTTGACAAATTTTTTATTGTCTGTCTGTCACAAAAGTTCATTTTTGTGTTATCAATAAAAACACATTTTTAATGAAAAATGCTTAAAAAGCCACTTTATGGCTGATATTTTTCAGTGTAGCATTGTAAATGCAAAATTTATCAAATATTAGAAACACTTTTTTTTATTTTCGGCGAAAACAATAAATTACGGTGATATATTGATTTGAAATATCGCATGACGTCATATGTCATATCTTTGTACATTTTTAAAATAATTGTGACGTAGCAAGCCCCCATTCCTCAACTTTGATATTGTTAGGTGAAATCGACGAATTATTTATTCAAGCACTTGTAACTTTCGCTGCTAGTAATTTTTTTTTATAAATGTCATATCTATTATGTCATATCTGTAGTAATGAGGATTGTACAAAATTACAATAAAATTTGAACTTATAAAAAGAAAAAAATGAATTCAATAATAGTGCAGTATATTTGGATGTAAGAAAGAAGGGAATCATAATTATCCAACAGAATTCAAAAACTAAGAGAGGCAGCAATGTAATGTAACTTCAACTTTTCTATTTTCTAGCAAAAAACATCAGAGTATGTTCAATATTATATTTTTTACATAGGAATACTAAATTATTTAGTATTGTAAAATTTCAAATATTTTGGTACCTATTGTAGAAGAATTTTAACTTTTATCTTATAAGATAAGACAATCTAAACATTTTCATTGCACGTAATACAGTATTTGCAGGGATAATAATAAAACGTTTTTAGATTGATTTAATGTTTTCATATATAAATACCTATTTAATAGGGGTTAAAGTATGAAATTGCCGATTTGTACTGAAAATCAAAATTGTTTATTTTTAATTTTTTAACAAATTTATTTAATCAAAACAGTTACAATTATTATTTATATATTGCTGCCATCTAATAGGAAGGTCATTTATGCCTTTGCGATAGAACTCTGAGTCTAAATCACGAAAAACTTGTAATCCGTTGGAGCAAGGTCTGGCGAATACGGAGAATGACGAATGGTTTCTTACTGCACTTCCTGAAGGGTCAAAAAGGGTCGTGTGAATGAGGTCTCGCATTGTCATGGAGCAATAATGTTGAAGATCCATTCATGTGTCGGGGCTGTTTTACTGCTAGTTTTGTCAACATTGTTCGGAGTTCAGCACAATAGACATCTGCCGTTATTGTTTGACCAGGTCAGAGAAAACTATAGTGAATAACAACATGCTGAGACTACCAATCAGTTACCATTACCTTTTTATTGATAAGTTTTGCTTTAGGACACTGTTGTGGCGTTTGACCTGGGGTCGGCCATTGCATTTTTCTTTTACGGTTATCATAAAGAATCCACTTTTCATCATATGTCACAATTCTATCCAATGTTCATTCATTTCTGTATCGATTCAACAAGGCAATACAAGTTTCAACACGCTTTTCTTTCTGCAGATCTGACAAATCATTTCATGAGGCACCCATTTTTCGTATTTTTTTTTTATATTATTGATTTGACGCAAATGAGTCAATATTGTGAGAAAGGTAACGTTAAATCATGCTGCTAATTCTTGGATAGTTTGACTAGGATCGGCTTCCACCATCTCTCTTAATTCATCGTTATTCACCTGTGTGGGCGGTCTTCCTCGTGCCTCGTTCTTCAAGTTGAAGTTTCCTTCACAAAAGCGTATCGCACGGTGCGTTCATTAGCAGACCCCTCTCCAGACGTAACATTGATATTGCGGGCTGTTTCTACAGCTTACTTCCGCGTTGGAACTCGTATTCAAAAATCACTATATTTTTTGCAGTATCCATCTTTCTTGTCTAAATTGAATAACAAAAACAATTGAAAGTTTTTATTGTCTGTCTGTCACAAAAGTTTATTTTTGAGTTATAAAGAGATTTGTAGACAGCCTCCAGGAGAGGATATTTTAGTTAAAGTATGTAGGTGGTAGAGTAGCGAAGGAGATTTAGTATAGTATAGATTTGATGACGTCTAATTAAAGTCAAAATGGTGTCAAGTAACTTTGAAGAATTCCCGGGACAGGCAGCCCCGGGAAATAGGCCTTTTAAGAATTTAGGTAGCTCTGTACGAGCTCAAAAAGCTAACTAGGGCAACTGTTGCCGTTGAAGTGATGCAGAACTTCACAGACAAGGCTTTTTTACATGAGGGTGAGCTCAAATTTGGAAGTAAATGATTTTAATTTAGAACATTAAAAATTCAAAGGCTACAGAGTCAATCAGGAGTCAAAGCAAAGAGTAGTATAATATATAGGGAAAAAGAGAACCCACTCGCAGGTTTCCGTGCCAATCATTTTGAAGCGCCATCTGAATTTCGTCCCCGAAAACTTTGCTATAATACATAGGTATACCTAGATAGATATAATACATAGATATACCTATGCCACTTTAAAGGTTTCTTTAGAATAAATAGTATGTATAGAAAACGAAAGAGTTTACATCTGAATTATTTATTAGAACAATAAAGTGCAGTCCAAATCAAACAAAAATTCAGATGAAAACTCAATCGTTTTCTGTACATACTATTTATTTGTAAAAAAGCGAAATCAGACATTATTTTCAAAAATTAGTTTATTTTTACTTTGCATATTTTTTTAAATATGACATACTATAGTAATCATTGCCAGGTTATTATGTTTTTTTTTCATAAATGACTATCGTTAATTTTGCTTAAATTTTTATTTATTACTTAATTTCTGCATTTTGAAACAATATTATAATTTGTTATATAAAATTACAACCAACTGGCAACTTTTAAATAAAGTTTTCTAGTGACGCCCTCTTCTGACTACTTTAGAAATTAAATTCAGTAAGTAACTTCGGGGACGTATAGTAGATGGCAGAGCAATGTATGCAGTTTGACAGTGTCATAGAACTGTCCCCCCCCTGCTTTACTTTACTGATGCTGTCAAATTGACGTCCTGTGTAAAATAGGCGCACGTGTTTGTAATTGAAGAAATTTATGAAATAATATAAAAGGATAACTATTTTGAATCGTTATCATGGCTGTTATGCAAAGAATAAAGTAATTATTTTAAGAAAAAAGTTTCGCTGTGACTGATGGAAACGTCTAGGTATATTTTCTCGTTTTGGTTATATATTTTTATTTGTTTTCCAGGAAACCAACAACACGTAAAGGTAAAAAAGTATTACTTTCCAAGGAGCCTAAACCCGTCGAAGGACCTAAACAATGTATAGTGATGCAAGGACGCAATCCTTCAGAACGCACCAGGAAGATTCTAAAGGATATTTATGATTTGAAGAAACCTGATGCAGCATACTTAACTCGTAAAAATGATTTTGTACCATTTGAAGATGCTTCACTTATTGAAAAGTACGTATATACCGCTTATTATGGGGTCGCATTAAGCGAGGTATTACTGTACTGAGATATATCATCACTGTTTTCATTATCTAAATTTTAAATTTTAAAGTTTGGTAATGAAATAATTTAATTTTTGTATTATAATCATTCTATAATTACAGGTTGTGTGACAAAAAAGATGCTGCTTTGTTTGGAGTAGGATCACATAGTAAAAAGAGGCCACACAATATTATATTGGGTAGAACCTTTGACTACAATGTTTTGGACATGATAGAACTTGGAGCAGAAAACTTTAAATCTATGTCAGAATTCCAGAATATGAAAATACTAACAGGCCTTAAACCATGTCTTCTATTTAATGGTCCATCATGGGAGTTGAATGAGGACTTAAAAAGATTAAAATCACTATTTACTGATTTCTTTCACAGAGAAAAGGTATGTGACAAGTAATTGTTTATGTAAATGAATAAACACAATCAAGAAATAAGTTTTTACTAACACGTTAATATGTCAACCTTGAGATTGTTGTTCATAAGAATTAAGTATACTTTAACCCCTCAAGTGTGCTTGGCCAGCTGAGGTTAAATTTGCAACAAGCAAGATAAAGTAGTGACCTTATACACGTGTTCATATTTCCGATATACTTTTACTCAGATTAGTGTTTATAATAATGCTATTATTCGAAGGAATAGTGACTCAAATTTTACTCTAGGGCAAATCCAAAAAGATAGGATTTGATTTGAAGAATTGATAATGTATTGAAAAAAATTATTTACTGTGTGAGGATTGAACTTGACAATTTTCACAATTTAGTTGAGCTAAATACATAATAACCAACATCACTAGCTAAACACTTAAATTGAGGTTGACTCAATTCTGACTTTGGTATCAAATGTCAAATAAAATTTTAATAGTAAACACAATGTTAGTTGGGACCAAACTAATAGACAATAGGGATGATGACAAATTTTTGTTTGTTCCTCTGTCTGGTAGATTGTTGAAGAATATTTAATACTTTTTATTTTTTGCACTATCAATAAATTATGGCAATACATTAAGTTGAATTGTCACATGACATCACACTTGTAGATTTTCTACAAAACTGTGACATAGCTAGCCCCTACTCTTCAACTTAAATGCCTATTAACCAAGCCATTTCTTAAAAAATACATATCTAATATTTTTCTATTATCTAACTGATGGACTAAATAGATTTTTTTAACCAGTCGTTATCCCTGTACTAAGGAGTCTTAAGTGAACATGGAACCTGGCAGATTCCGTGTTTAGTTGGGTCTAAAATGTCATGAAATCAAATATAAACATGCTACGCTCAGTTCAAAATAGTTCTATTTAAAACTAAGGATGCTCCGCTATACATAATTCAACTTTATGTACAGAATATTTATTATTATTTATTTAAATTTGAATAATGAAGAATTTTATTTAATAAATCAATTAAATAAAGATAGAAAGTTAAGTTTAATTTTTATTGATTTCAGGTTGAGACAATTAGGCTACAGGGTCTAGAACATGCACTAAGTTTCACAGCAACAGATGATAATATGATTTACATTAGATCCTACAGAATACAGTTAAAGAAGAGTGGTCAAAGAACACCAAGAGTGGAACTGGAAGAAATTGGTATGGAATCTTATTATAATTTAATCTTTGTCCAGAAGGAGTAAATTAAGATGAGATTTCAAGTACAAAATTAAAAACATTTCATCTAGATCTAACACTTATTCTAATTAACAGTCAATGAATAATTAAACAAATTTGCTCATACACAGTTCTTGACAGGATCTCATTGTGTTTGATAGTGCAAAGAAAGTTTTTGGTTTTGAAATAATACCTATTGAAATTAAGATCTTCCAACCTTATATATTATAGTTTTCTGTTTATCTTAAAGTTCTGCAAATCTGATGTTTATACAAATTTATTTTGATTATTTAATTTTCCATTTATTCATGAAATTGTCTGAAAAAATAATAACTTATTTTCCAGGCCCTTCAATAGATTTTAAATTGCGTAGAACAAAGTTAGCAGCAAATGATCTTTACAAGGAAGCTTGTAGAGTACCAAAAGAAGCAAAACAGGGTGTCAAAAAGAATATTTCAAGGGACGCTTTTGGTTCTAAATTGGGTAGAATACACATGGGTAAGCAGGATGTTAACAAGTTACAGACACGCAAGATGAAGGGCTTAAAGAAAACCCCCGAAGAACGCAAACAGATGCTTTTGAAGAAGAAAGCAAAAAAAGCAGCTACTAAAGTTCCAATATCTAAAGAACAATAAACAGCAGTAATAACAGTCTCATTGTTTTATTATTATGTTTTATCACATCACATCCATCTATATTAAAATATCAAAGTTGACATTTACTGTGTTGATGATGTCAATGAGAAAAAATTGACTTAATACAATAAAATATACCTTATTTATGTGTCGAATTAGAAACATTATTACGAGCTGTTTTATTCATTGAATAATATTAAATATCTTATTCTCCATCCTGGTTTTTGGGTAATATATAGTATATGGTACAGGCCCTTTTGAAGGTTTTGCGCATTTGGGAGCCTTGTTATGGACCAATAAATTAATTTTTCTACTCTAAAAAATGCAAGATATAAATGTGATACTCACACTGTACCCAAGTTAAATAATTGAGTCTGTATAGTTGTATTGGTTGTTACTTTTGAAATGTTACAAATCAAGAAGTGTGTTTGTAAGAATTATATTTGAGTTATACAATTATAATATAATGGCCCTGCTCTGGTATAGTGCAATGGACTATTTTATATAATGACTAGGTACAAATCGGCTTATTGTGTAATGAATAGATCGTGCGTTTTTTCAGTATTAAAATTTAATTAAGATATAAGGTATGTCACTGGTTGTTAACCGCCTACTGCAAAGCCATAGTAGCCAGAGCAAGAATAATTTTAAGTATATTCTTTTATTACATATTTATTTATACATTTACATGACTGATTAACTTGATTTGTGTTGGCGAAATTAGATATGTTAAAAAACGAATTTTAAAGACCTATTTCGAAAACTAATAAACAGATTTTCTTGTCTATTTTTAACTTGGTTTTGTTTTAACATTATCGCGTTGCGTAATGTAATCAAAGAAATAGAAGTTTTTTTTTCATTATTTATTCAAGGACATTTAATATTAATCACATCACATCAAATGTGACCATTGATATCAAGGACAATGATTTATTCAACATAGAGTTGTGTTATTTACAGAATTAAAAACGCAATGAGGGCAATGTGGGCTAACGCATTTGAATTTGCCACTAGAGGCGCTAGTGTTGAGTGAGGCATTCAAAATGTCAAATATCATCGGTAAAGATTTATGTGAGTCGATGTAATTTTAATTTGGTTTGTGCAATAAAAATTATTTGTTTATTTATAAATAACTATAATTTAAGTTCACGTTGGTAATAAACAGGCCACCGTCGCGACATCTGGTGAGCAAAAAACGGTATCCCTCATTCGACAGGATTAAAACTCAATTTAATCTACTTTGTGCAACAGAATTGCTAATAATAGGTATTAAAAGGTTAATTTCAGGAGGAGTTTCTTAGGAGGACTGACGTGAAAACTTAATGTGTTTTCTTGGCGCCTTAAGATTTCATAACATCTTTTGTCTAAAGAACAGCGTTGCTGTGAACTACTGAGCATATTTTTTTGAGAAAGTCACAGTTAGGGCGCTTGTGCACTACACTGAATTTTCATGTCCGGCGGTCCGATTTTTTCAGGTCCGATATGTCAGGCCATATGTAGGTAATGCGCGCTTGTGCACTGTCAGGAATTTTACCGTCCGGAATTTTACTTTTCTCTATTCCGGACCGGTTTTTTCAGGTCCGTGATGGCGGCAATGAAAAACGTGTTTACGCTTGTGCACTGCTGTGTCCGAGATCCGGAAAATTCATAAGGAATAGGCTTGGGAAAAAATAATCGATTTGAATCGATATTTATTTCGGCAATATTGTTAATTTCTAATTAACTTATAATCGATATTTATTGTTGAATATAAAATGCTATATTTTATATGATGATTTAATATAGTTGGTATATATCTCTGCAAACTCGGTATAGTTCTAATTTGATCAGCGTATGGTTCTAGTATCGATACTTAGCTACATTTTAGAATCGTATTAAAAGTATCGATAGCTTAAGGTAAGATAAATAAGTGTTGTTACACTTAAACGCCTAAACAGCTGAACTCATCTAAATGGAAATTAATATAGTAAATAGACTTAACTTTAAGAAAGGACATAGGCTACATTTTATCGCGAAAAATAGGGGATGAAAGTTTGCCTGGAAATTTGTCATTATCAAATTTTTTTTAGAATTGATAAATATAGATAAATATTTGACAACAGAAGTAATAATAAAGAATAAACAGAAGATTAACAAAAGTAATTAAGTGACACTCAATGTCTTTTTCGCATTTAATAAAATTTTAAATGTATGCTTCTGTCATTAATAAATTTAAAAAAAAGTATTCTAAGGGAATAATATTTCTGCTCAAAGAAACTACACCACGCGCATAAAATTATGCCTATATATAATACAGTCAACTGATCTCGTAAAGTTCATTTAGCATAATAATTCTCCGCTAACACGGCACTAATTTCCATTTGTTTACGAAATGGCGCCACCGATTGGTCTTTCTCTGTAATCGCTGAAAGTTGTTTTTACAAAACTTCGAAAAAGAAGCACGTTTAAAAATTTAAACATCAAGTACTAGACCATTATCAGTAATTTTATTCTAATGTCACAGATATTTTTAGCTATTGTATGTGAATAATGCTGTTCCTAAATTAGTAAGGGTATAAGTTTTTACATCTGATAGTAGTCATCCGATAGTAGTAAAAAAAAAATGCTTCATTCGTCTTGCCATAATTTATTATGGTTTATGTAAAACGATCAGATCATTATTTAGGTACCTTTCTACGTCTTCGAACTGAATTACCGACGTTCCAAAAATCTCATCGTACATAGCGTAAGTGACGTGTAGCTTCAAAGAGAGCTGCCCTACACTGCGCCGCTCCGATCAGGAAAAAAACGGACAAGTGCACAAGCTACTCATCCGAGTATGGGCGCTTGTGCACTACTCTGAATTTTCATGTCCGGCGGTCCGATTTTTTCAGGTCCGATATGTCAGGCCATATAAAAGTAATGCTAGCTTGTGCACTGTCAGGAATTTTACCGTCCGGGATTTTACTTTTCTCTATTCCGGACCGGCTTTTTCAGGTCCGTGATGGCGGCAATGAAAAACGTATTTACGCTTGTGCACTGCTGTGTCCGAGATCCGGAAAATTCATAAAGAATAGGCTTGGGAAAAAATAATCGATTTGTGTATAATCGATATTTATTTCAGCGATATTGTTAATTTCCAATAAACTTATAATCGATATTTATTGTAGATTATAAAATGTTATATTTTATATGATGATTTTATATAGTTGGTAAATATCACTGCATATGCTTTGGCAAACTCGGTATAGTTCTATTTTGATCAGCGTATGGTTCTAGTATCGATACTTAGCTAGATTTTAGAATCGTATTAAAAGTATCGATAGTTTAAGGTAAGACAAATAAGTGTTGTTACGCTTAGACGCCTAAACAACTGAACCCATCTAAATGGAAATTAATATAGTAAATAGACTTAACTTTAAGACATAGGCTACATTTTATCGCGAAAAATAAGGGATGAAAGTTTGCCTGGAAATTTGTCATTATCAATTTTTTTTAGACAATTGATAAGTATAGATAAATATTTGACAACAGGAGTAATAATAAAGAATAAACAGAAGACTAACAAAAGTAATTAAGTGACACTCAATGTCTTTTTCGTATTTAATAAAATTTTAAATGTATGTTTGTGTCATTAATAAATTTAAAAAAAAGAAGTATTCTAAGGGAATAATATTTCTGCTCAAAGAAACTACACCACGTATATAAAATTATGCCTATATACAATACAGTCAACTGATCTCGTAAAGTTAATTTAGCATAATAATTCTCCGCTAACACGGCACTAATTTCGATTTGTTTACGAAATGGCGCCACCGATTGGTCTATCTCTGTAATCGCTGAAAGTTGTTTTTACAAAACTTCGAAAAAAAATAGCACGTTTAAAAATTTAAACATCAAGTACTAGACCATTATCAGTAATTTTATTCTAATGTCACAGATATTTTTAGCTATTGTATGTGAATAATGCTGTTCCTAAATTAGTAAGGGTATAAGTTTTTACATCTGATAGTAGTCATCCGATAGTAAAAAAAATGCTTTCGTCTTGCCATAATTTATTGTGGTTTATGTAAAACGATCAGACCATTATTTAGGTACCTTTCTACGCCTTCGAACGGAATTACCGACGTTCCAAAAATCTCATCGTACCTAGCGTAAGTGACGTGTAGCTTCAAAGAGAGCTGCCCTACACTGCGCCGCTCCGATCAGGAAAAAAACGGACAAGTGCACAAGCTACTCATCCGAGTTTTTCATGTCATTCCGGACCGGAAAAAATCGGACCGCCGGACCTGAAAATTCAGTGTAGTGCACAAGCGCCCTTAATAGGTATTGATGATTATAATTTGGAATTTCATAATGACAATTAAAGTAGTGCTTCGCTTGAATACTTTTTGTCTTTTGTATTTGCTGAGGATTATATTACGTATAATTTTGCTTAGATCAAAGATTTATGAATACTTTTAGACAAAAGCTCCTGTTCAAGTTCCTACTTGGTATTTTCTTTCACAGCGCAATTATATAGTGTTCGTAAGGCGTTAAATAATTGACTATAATTTTAATATTTAATAAGAACTTACAAGTCACAGGTGAGTGGGACTCTCCTTTGAGAACCCGTCCGAGTTTTTAGTCTGGTAAATTCACCAAGATCAAATTTCTGCAGTGGATTTTGTTTGGTTTATCCACAAAACATTAAGGTTTACAATCGACTGGGGAAATTTTGTCAGTTTTCTATACAGTCAGAGGCAGTTGACTGTAACTGGAGGGGATGGTGTTTTTGAGCATTTTTTTGTTGCGCGTTATTCTCAATTAACCATTTCATTTGATCCCTATAATGAGAGTGCCTAAAACATAGCTAGTCCGCCATCTTGGGTGGTCCGCTATAATGTACTCGTATTTAGAATGAAATCAATTTCTGATAAAAGTCGTACAATCCAATATGTACTTGCGGTATGTCGCAAAGCAGCTTAATCGGTTGAGGATAACTGCTTTAAAACGCAGTTGTAATATTAATAACTAAAAAACGTTATTTAAATGCGAAAG